TTTCAATATTTCATCAAAATTGTTCCAGCCGTTTTGGAGTCCATAGGGAATATATGTATATACATATGTTTCACCCCTATGCCTCGGAGAGCACGTGTCGCGTGGGTCCTGCGCCGCCACTCTCACCGGTCGTGTCTCGTGTCGTCCCACCGGAGTATGAGAGTGACAGGAATAGAGAGTACACTTGTGTCTGCGCGTACACTTGTGCACTATAATATCTCCTGCGCAGTTGGCTAGTCTCAATGAGATTGGCCGCCGTGGCCGGAATCGGTCAGGAGAACATTATTTGTTATTTAACAACGCCTAAACCGTACAACAGGTTTAGATGAAACTTAGCTAACAGATAGATCATATATTATGCTAACATATATTTTTAAGAAAATTAAATGCCCAATTTACCAATAGATGGCGTCGTACAAATATGTTCAAAGAAAGGCAAAACCGGGCCTATAAAGTAGTTTTTTATGATTGCCTTAAAATACTCTCACCTATACTTCAATTACGGCGAAGTTACAGGCAATTAGCGTGCAACAGCAAAATTGTTCTGATTTATTAAATGAGAGGTGCCCGCAATAGGTTGTAGAAGTTGCACCACAGCATGGGATGGCAGATGTTTCAACATGAAAAATAACAGTAGTTTAGATTTTCCACACAGATTTACTTGTTGTGATATAATTTATAACCCAGTGTTTTCTTATATCTAGTTTTTAGGGTCTCGTATTTGAATAGTTGAGACGATAACGTAATTATATTGCGTAATGCCACGGAACCCTCGATGCGTGAGCTCGCTTCGCATTTGACCGATTTCCAATTTTATTTTCACTTGAGAAAGATATGAGGATAAATATATTTAGGATAGATAAATTTGTATATTTGATTTGCACGGTATATTCACAAGTAGTCACGGGTTCGATGATACGTAGAGTTACGGATTTTGTTTATCTAATATATTTAAACGAGCTATTCTTAAATATTTATACCGACGACGATTTAGCTGAAATTAGCTGAGAATGTTTTTTGGGGGTTTCGGGGGCGAAATATCGATTTAGATTAGTTTTATGTCCGGGAAAACGCGTGTTTTCGAGTATTCATGCGGTTTTCTTTCGCACGCAAAATATGGTCGCTAATTTCACACACTCTGACGTAAGCAGCGTAGTCAAACGGCCAAGGCGCAAGATTTACAACCCCAAGTGTCCGGGTTCGAATCCCAGTCGGATACAGAGTTGTTACTTTTGTTTTTTTTGTATTTATTCAACTTTCGCAGGAGATATTATAGTGCAGTGCGTGTGCGCGCAGACACAAGTGTACTCTCTATTCCTGCACTTTCGTACTCCGGTGGGACGACAGGATACACGACTGGTGAGAAATCAGCCGTATATCCGACGGCATTTCTTGTTTTGCAACGGAACGAGGGTGTAACTTCGTTAACTTTCAAATTCCTGTTACTGCAAATTTCTTGACAGAAAAACCAAATGACTTATGTTTTGCTGGTCCCGGGACTCAAACCCAGAACCTTCCCTAGCATATTTAAGTTAGCGATTATTTGGACGTTATAAAGTTAAGAAACAGATAGAAAACATAAATAAGATAAATGTAACACACAGACATATAGGGTCATGTGGCTGTACGACCTCGGCCTTGACCAAGTACGAAGTAAAAGAATTCACGAGGTTAAATTACTTAAAAGAGACAGTTTGATGTATCAAAATCCTATTTTTTTTTATAAAATATGCTATAAACTAATCGATAAGGTCACTATTTTAGTGGACTTTATAAAGAGGAGGAAATTTTAACTCAATGTTATGTTAGATAATAGTATCGTAAATTTTGAACAAGTTTTCATCATTCCTTTCTCTATTCCTAAAAGGAGGTTGGCAAAGGTTAATTTTTACTATTTCCATCTCGTACTCCTAATATTTATTGTTTTGAACGTCCCACTGCTGGGCGATGGAACTTCCCCTTAAGTGAAGGTATAAGTATAACATACAAATATACTTTCCCTTTAAGTTGATGTTATACGAACAAACTTTCGCGCTTAAATTAGTAGGGTGATACCTTGGCAGTTTTATGACAAATGAAATCGGACTAATTTAAAGCTTATTATTTATCAAAGTGTCTGCTAATACTTTCTTAGATTTACGCGAATATTTGACATTTTAAATAAAACTATCTTTTCGAATTTTTTCGCGGATTTGTTTCGATTTTTGGTTCCCGACGTTTCGAATGCTTTACAGCGCACATGATCAGTAGGAGATAGACAGAAGAGACTAAGGTTTTAGACATCTCAAAGGCATTATATACTTGTTACAGATATAAATAAATATGTTAAATAAATATGTTGGGACATTAACACACAGCGCCATCTAGTTCCATGATAAGCTACGATGCTTGTGTTATGGATACCAGATAGTTGATCACTACACATATATAACTTTCAATACATACATATAAATATAAATACCCATGACTGGAGTACAAACATTCGTTATTACACAAATGATTGCCCCAGCGGGACTCGAACCCGCGACCGCTGGCACAGCAAGTAGGGTCACTACAAACTGAGCCAAACGTGTCGTCAAATATTACAAAACGATTTCAAATAATTCAAAAATGGCAACTTAATAAAAGTTAAAGTACCTTAATCTTATATATTTGTTGATTTTAATTGTAAACATTAAAAAAAAATAAGTATTGTCATTAAATATGGCTATATTATTCATTTAATTTTAACTGTTATTATTACATTATAATTATTACATAGTTTTTTTTATATATTAATTAATAATATTATTTAGTGTTGCTATTATTATACGTATAACCATGAAGAAAACTAAAAATTAAAAATATTAATTATTTTAATAGGTACACACAGTCTATTAAAATATATTTATTTCAACTTTAGCTTTACACAAGAAAACTTATTGTTATGGAACAGTTACACAAAAGATACATAATATTTCAACGCGCTTACATTATTTATTTAAGCAATATAATTGTGTATGTATATGATGTCAAATATTTGCGTAAACCTACGAAAGTAATAGGGGTTAATATGAAATTGCCGATTTGTACTGAAAAATTGAAATTCGTTTTTTTTTTAAATTTAACATATTTATTTGATCAAAATAATTACCATTATTATCTATACATTACTGCCATCTAATAAGAATTTAAAGGTATCGGGGCTGTTTCACTGCTAGTTTTGCTATCATTATTCGGAGTTTGGCACAGTAGACATCTGTCGTTATTGCTTGACCAGATCGGAGAAAACTATAGTGAATAACATCATGCTGAGGCCACCAAACAGTTACCATTACCTTTTTATTGGTAAGCTTTGCTTTAGGACACTGTTGCGGCGCTTGACCTGGGGTCAGCCATTGCATTTTTAGCATACGGTTATCGTAAAGAATCCACTTTTAATCACATGTCACAATTCGATCCAATATTGCTTCATTTCTGTATCGACGCGACACGACGCGTTTCTTTCTGCAGATCAATCAAATCATGAGACAAGGGTATTTCTCAAATATTATTTGGCATGTCTTTAATCATAAGAGTATGTTGAATAGAACCAAAAATGAAAATATTTTTTGGCCAGATTAATCAGATGAAGGACGCAATCTCGGAGAAATACCCGCAACCATTTTTTTTATATTTTTATTTTATTGATTTGACGCAAATGAGTCAATATTGTTGGTAAGGTAACGTTTAACCTTGCCGCTAATTCCTGGGTTGTTTGGCTCGGATCGGCTTCCACCATCTCTTTCAATTCATTGTTATTCACCTGTGTGGGCGGTCGTCCACGTGGTTCATTCTTCAAATCAAAGTTTCCATCAGGAAAGCGTTTAAACCAAAATCGCACGGTGCGTTCATTAGTAGTCCCCTCTCCAAACGCAACATTGATATTGCTAGCTCTTTCTGCCGCGTTAGTTCCGCGTCGGAACTCGTATTCAAAAATCACTCGAATTTTCGAAGTATCCATCTTTTTTGTCTAGGCTGGATAAAAAAACAACTGAAAGTCGATAATTGAATGTTGCAAATTTTTCAAAAGAAGAACTACGTAGGTACGATGTGAAAAAAGTTTCACTCAAAAATGTCAAACCATGAACTTTAACCCCTATTATTATTTGAAAATTAATTTAAACTGTAGATACTTCTTTCTTAAGCCTTCGATCTTGTTTAGGGTTTCATACCCGAAGGGTGCCAAAGGAATCCTATTACTAAGCCTCCGCTGTCTGTCTGTCCGTCAGAGGGTATCTAATGAACCGTAATAGGAGAGAGTTGAAATTTTCACAGAATGTGTATTTCTATTGCCGCTATAACAGCAAATAATAAAAAACTAAGTTGGCGAATTTCAAAAAGGTTGCCATGCAAAATAAAAAAGAACCCATTATGATACGAAACTGTACGTGTGCGAGTTTTTTGATTGTTTCAACAATCAACGTGTTTTGTCTGGAAATACTAGTCATATTTCAGAAGTTCTTATTCCACTTTGTAACTTATTCATTGACCAATTTGGTTTTTTACGGCTTTAATTAAAATTACATATTATGATTCGATGGTAAACAGAAAACACATTTTTAATGGAATAAAAAATAGCACTCGACTTATAATAATATAGCTTGAAGCTTCCTTGTAGTAGGAATTTTTTTAGAAGCGGATTTGTAGTTTCAGATATATATATATATATATATATATATATATATATATATATATATATATATATATATATATATAATTTTCGTAATAGTCCGAAAAATTTTTAGGAAAATAATTTCATTATTTTTTCCGAAAATTGGGAAATTCGAAGTGTTTTTCTATATACAATAATTATGGTATGCCATAAAAGAACACTAAAAATATAACTATAAAAGATTTGCCAAGTATTATTTAAAATCACAAATATTTGAATAAATCTAAGCAAATATTATCAAAAATTTTATTGAAATTTTCACAGGACAATGTCAGTTAGTTAATGATAGTATGTAATTTTTCTAGAGATGGCGCTAAACGGACAAACAGACGTGAAGAGTGATAGCCATCCATACAAAATGGAAGAGTTGGAAGAATCTCAGATACAAAAGATGTTTTCTGGCTCGACCGTACTCTTAACTGGGGGTACGGGCTTTCTTGGAAAACTTTTAGTTGAAAAGCTTTTAAGGTAAGTGCTTAGAACTTTTTTGTCTTTGTAGCCGCAAATAATATGAAAAAATACTTAATTAGCCCTTTAAAGGATGAATTTCAAAAAAAAAACATTTAAATATATTTCTATAAATAAAGTAGCCTAACTTACTCTTTATAACATCAGCTAACTGCCAGTGAAAGTCCCGTCAAAATCGATCCAGCCGTTTCGAAGATTAGCTGGAGCAAACAGACAGACATAACATTTTTAAAATTTGTGTTTTTCTTATAATACCTACCGTGTATAATTTCATACGCAGTTAGTAAAAAGCTATTATTTTAATATTACAAACAGACACTTCAATTTTATTTATCTGTATAGATTACATAGTAGTGATAAGTAGTTTTATAAATAAGTTATAAGGTACATAGATACTAATATTTAATGTAATCGATCAACGATTTATATAAATTACGTGCGTATGGAAAATCCCAACTTTTAGCTTGTTATTTACTATCATAATAATATTATACTAACGAAGTGCAATGGCCTCAGTGGTTTAGTGGCTAGTATGTACCGCTGCACATCCGGCGATCCTGGGTTCAAGTCCCGGGTCGGGTCAAGTTTAGTTATTGAATGTTTCTATCAAGAAAACCTTGTAACAGGCCGGAGTTGGGAAGTTGGCGGTGTTTCACTCCCGTGCTTCGGAGAGTACGTAAAGCCGTCGGTCCTGCGTTAACTCTTACCGCGAGTGTCGAGTTATCGTCCCATCGGACTTAATGAATACATATATAATAAAATTCTGAGTCGAATCTTGACATTAAATATTTTTTGGAAAATCTTATTGAAATAGTCATTATTATCGATACAGGGGCAGAATCTATATTTTTTAAGTTTTTTGTCTGTCTGTCTGTCATGATATTTTAACTATATTAGAGTTCATACCTAATCATATTTACCTATTAGATATTCTTATCATAAAAGTCGGTTTTACTTCTTTTTTATTTTTTTATTTTTCCATTTTTAGTGTAGACGTAATAAGCAGGTAATTTATAAGAAGAAAGTTTTTTAATAACATATTCGATTAAGCAATTCATTTAAAAAAAAATATTGTTGATTTTTTAAAACACCGTTCGAACGATTACGATAAAATTTAAATGGGACCACCTGGGAAGTATACCCTTCAAAACAAAAAAAATCCAAATCAGTTCAGGCGTCTTCGAGTAATCGGTGAACATACATAAAAAAACCGAAGAATTGAGAACCTCCTGCTTTTTGGATGTCGGTTAAAAAGTGAGTATTATCGTTTGTCCGCGAGGAACCTACTACCGGTACAAAAGGATTCTTAACTTAAGAGATCAATTTTTATGTATGCGGCTATGACCTAGAATATGTTTACATAAATCCCATGATTTGTGTTTGAACGTTTATTTAGCTCGTATATTAAGTAATTTTGGTAACAAATTTAGTACACAAAATTGAGTTATATATAACAGATGTTATCATGAACTTCAATTATATATAATATGTATGTATTTAAAGTTATATATGTGTAGTGTATCAATTATCTGGTAACCATAACACAAGCCTCGTAGCTTACCATGGAACTAGACGGCGCTGTGTGTTAATGAAAGAAAAAAAAATTATTACCATACTCATTGTCCTGGAAATAAACAACTACCTAGTACTAGTTAGCCTTAGAACAAGCTTGCCTTTAATTAACTCGGGTCCTCCCTAGTACCTTTTGTATCTACTTATACAGATAAATAATATTGAAGTGTCTGTTTGTAATGTCAAAATAACAGCTTTTTACTAAATGCATAGGAAATTATATACGGTACTTAAAAGAATATTATAATGTAAAAAATCTGTTCGTTTGTTCCGACTAATCTCCGAAACGGCTGGACTGATTTTGACGGGGCTTTCACTGGCATATAGCTGATGCCATAAGTAACTTAGACTACTTTAATTTTAGAAAAAGCATTAGGATTTCGCTCGAAAAACTAACACGTACCTAAGGACACATCCGAACAAAGAAAGGTTAAGTCGCTGCCTCGTACCCATGTTATATCTATCTGTGTCCTAAATTTCATCCAAATCGGTACAGCCGTTACAGTGTGAAGAAGTAACAAACAAACATACATACAATCTTTCGTATTTATAATATTCCTATAACTATATATACAAATAATATCTGCTTGACCGAACTGGTGGATGATTTGATCGACTTCGATAAAGAGAAGTTGTAAAAACCACGTGTATGGTTTTTGTATGTGTTATGATTTTTCAAAGATTTAGCTTGTACAAGGTCTCATTAAAAATATATTTTAATCTAGCTGAGGTTTTTTTATCGAAATGCTGGCCGACAATAGATCGATAATAATGACGTGTGGTAAAAAATTGTAATAATTTGTAGTTTCATTATTTTTTTAACTTGAAAATTAATACATCTCAAGGACTTATAAATATCAAGACAGTCATAAACAACATCTATACATATAATAAAATTCTAAGTCGAATCTGTACATTAATTATTTTTTGGAAAATCTTATTGAAATAGACATAATTATTGATACAGAGGACGAATCTATAGTTTTTAGAATTTTTGTTTGTCTGTCTGTTACCGCATCACAGAAAAACTACTAGAGAGATTTTGATGAAATTTGGTATGGTAATAGCTGGTTATCCGGGTCAACATATAGGATACTTTTTACAGCGGGAAAATATCTCATTTCTGAGAAAAAATGGAAAAACTGCAATGTAAGAGTATACTAATATGTAAAACCTAAGAATTTGGTTTTTGGTCATCTAAACGCGGGCGGAACCGCGGGCAATGCTAGTATTATATATATTTTATGCCCTGAGCTAATATAATAAGGCTTTTGTTAATGGGAAATGCATTTACGCATACCACCTGTATACATACAGGTGTTTATGTGGGACTTATCGGCTGGAGAAGCCAGTACTACCCTGTGCCGGATTCAACCTTAGCGCCGCCCCTGGACATAGAAAAAAAATGCCGCCCTATTATCGAAATTTTGGATAAAATATTGAAAGTTTAAATTTTTATTATTATTATTATTTCTAAAAATGTACGTACTAGTAAAATTTTTTTATTTTTCATTTTTTGCAAAATAAAAAAAGCATTTTCGATAACGCGAAGAATTTTTTTTTCCATCCCTCTGAATTTTGCCGCCCCTAAAAATTTCCCGCCCTAGGCACTAGCCCCGAGTGCCCCTAGTATAAATCCAGCGCAGGTACTACCAACGAAAACCCAACAGAACCGTCGTCTTAATGGGGTGTCGCAGGATGACTTGCGCACTCTACCACGACGCCCTGACGGCAGGTCTGTCGAAGCAGACCACACAACCAAATGGTTATATTCTGCTGTCAGAGAAGTACCAGGAGCATGTCCCATGCTACACCGCCCACTGAGGTGAGCCACCTCCCAACGTGACTCTTGGCTTCGCGTCCAGCTGGATTGCCGGACGTTAATGAGTCACACGACAAAGTGATCACAATTGATGTGGAACATGTTGTTTTTAATCAATATATCTATATGAGGAGAGTCGAAGGCAAAGATTAGTTTTACATTAATTAACAACTAATACATACTCGTATATTAAACTCTTGCGGTTAGAATATTAATACAATTTGATGGAAACGTCTTCTCATTTGATTCATTGAAAATGGCTTCCAATTTAGCTTTTTTTGTATCAATCATTATAAGATTGTTAGAAATTTTTCCATCCACAAATAATTAATAAGTCGTGTTTACGTCATAGTAGGTCTACTAGCAAAAGCATATTCAAACAGATTATTATAATAATTACCATCGATACAATATCCATACTAATATTATAAATGTGAAAGTGTGTTTGTTTGTTTGTCCTTCTTTTACGTCCAACTGGAGTGATGGAGTGTCGTAATTTTTTCTGTGGAAATAGTTGGAGGACTGGAGAGTGTCATAGGCTACTTTTTACCGCGGGAGATTATCTCATTCCCACGGGAAAACCCGTTATAATACAATCCAAAAAAATATGATCAGAATTACTTAAAACATGGTATTAATGCTTTTCAATAAAATTAAATAAATGTTTTAGCATTTTTCGAAATTCATCGTATAAGAGGATGAAATAGGAGATGAAAGTTTGTATGAAACTACCTTTTTAGAGATTTTTCGTAATTTTATCGCGAGCGAAGCCGCGGGTTCTGCTAGTATTTTAATAAAAATTAAACATAATATCTCTTTCCATAGCAGGATTCTTTACATAGCAGGAAATGTTTGGAAACCGACCTTTATATCGAATATGCTAATACCTGCTCTTATATATATATATATACTAGCGTTTTCCTGCGGCTCCGCCCGCAGTACATTAATCACCAACATATCATATACTACTACTAAATTTCATCTAAATCGGTTTAGTAGATCTAGAGATTACCCCCTACAACGTCACAAACTCACAATTCACGAACTCATAAACGTTACCTCTTTATAATATTAGTATAGATTAAATAATCGCTTATTTAGATACATGTGTATATGTATATGTGTTTATGTGAGTATATATATATTTCAATTTAGATCTTTCTTAACCTGTTAATAATATATTTGACTATTATTATTTTTATAAGCTAATTTTTATTTGTAAGCTGTAACATTGTGAATCTTTATGGTACTTTTTTGATATTCTAAATTTTGTTTTGCCTTTACATGTACTATTTTTTAAATGTCGTTATCACCTATAATTAAGGTACCACTCTACCTGTTTTATTTTCCATGTATGTTATAATGTGTTTAGTTTGTACTTTGTTGGTGGTCTAATAAATAAATAAAAAATAAAAAAAATAAATAAAACCTTCTCCGAAACACGCTGCATCTTATGGTATGAGTATTATTCCGATCGGTTCAGTAGTTATCGCAGTATAACCGAACAAAAAAAACCGGCTCTCCATTTATTAGTATAGATTCGATAAAAAATAATTTAGGGATTTTTTTATTATTCTTTATGTTTCAATCTATCAATGCATATCTG